TATGCATAGGGCCAGTTTAGGAGAGTTGTTGCTGATTTTTTTTTTCTGAAATTAAGTCTGACATTTGCTAAGTAGTTTGACTTCTGTATGGGTGGTGTGAACAGGACAGAACCCCCCTCAACCCAGTGGCTAGTTAGGTGCCAATCACTCTCAAATGCCAAAGAGATCATTTCAGGCATCTATAGTAGACACTTTTCTTTCTTTTTGGCTGCATCCATTTCCAGTGTGTTTGTCAAAACCGTCTTTTCAATTGTCTTTTCTGAACAAATAGGAGAATCTTTTCTTAGAAACAATAAAACCTTTACATACATAGAGATCTTGTTTGTGTTTACTGTGTTATCTCAGTCAACTTGCTGCTTTGACTTGTGCATTTGGCTGTCCACGCTCTGGCGGTATGTGAAAGCCAGCATTTGAGGAGTCTTAAATTGTCTTAAAGTTCAAGAAGTTGGGGTATTTTTACAAAAATTTTGCAAAGAGTCAATTGTGCAACAGTTTCTGACAACCACTCCTTGTAGAGCCAAGATCCCGGAGAGGAAAAACACTCTTAGGAGCAATCTAGCATCTCATGACATGCTTGGTCTATGCTGACATTCTAGGAGATGAACAGTCTTTCCCAGAGCACTGTAGATTAGTTAGCCTCATCCTGTGGTAACCCTCAAAGGATGATGTTCATACAGCAAGCCAGCCCTCTGGATGACCTCAATCACTCTTCACAGCACATTAGTGCTGCACACTCCCGTTGTCAAGTCTTTGGGAAATCCAGTCTTCAAACTAAAACTCTGATGCCATCAAACCAGAAGGATTTATAATGCATCCATTTAGCAGATGTGACAGAAGTTAGATGAAACACAGTCAAGTTATTATCTGTCCTAAATATAAGATGATAAACCCTTTGGTGAACTGTAAAGGCTGTGGCTGGTTTGAAGGAGTGAAAACCATCTTTCTCACTTGCTTATCCTTTGAGATGCTGCTGCTCAGCTACTGTTGAAAATGAACTGTTCTCCTCATGTTAAGGTATGTTAAAAAGAGGAAATAGTCAATATACAAAGAGCAGGTCTGCTGCTAGCAGTATAAAATTACTGTACAACTAGTCCAGTTTGGCATTGGCATACTCACTGGCACGTGGGCCACTGCTGCATGACCAGGGCTGAAATTTTGGAAGTGTTACACAGAGGGATGATTGCAAAGACTGCAAGGATGACTAAAGCAAAGAGCTGCCAACTACAGGCACATGGTCCACCATTCATCATTTGATATCCCCTCTGACAAACACATGAAGGGTGAGATGGAGTGTCAGTATTGTCCACGTGACAACACCGGGAGACAAGTGACGATGTGGAATCATGGACCAACTGGCTGAGCACAGATTGACGGTGTTTCTGTCTGTAGTCAGCATCCCTGTGTGGTGCCTCTCCCTTCAGTCCAGAATGGCCAAATAGGGTTTGTTTTTTTTTTCTGAGCCCATCCTGCTGTCTGTCTCTCACATCTATGGTGTTATTTTTCTGCCGATGATGTTCCCTCTCCTTCTTCCACTCCGCCTTCATCCTCTTCCCTTCACGTCCACTCCCACTGACCTCTCACAGATTCCTCAGATGTGCCTCTTCATGTGTAGTGCCAAGTGATCCGACCGCGAGAAACACCTGCAACCAAAGATGAAGAAACAGAGAACAGCTTGTTAGCTTGTTACCAATGCGGGGGAAAGAAGTTTGTTTTGTCGAATGAGCTAAATGTTGCTGTTAGCTAGTGAGTACTGAGCCACTAATGCACACGTAATTAGTATATGTGTAACTAATTCATAATCAGCGTTTTCAGCAGCACTCCTAATGACTTCAGCTGCGCCATGAATAACTAGAAAGCCCGCAGATGGATCTGTTGAAACACTGGAGGGGGTGAAGGAAAAAAAAAAAAACAGGCACGCAAAACATGTGCTATAAAACGATTACTAAATTAGATGAATCCAAGCCTCTTGTCTGAAATCAGGCTTGCAGATTTGCTGAGATGTTTCTGTATGTTGTAAAATGAAATTACACTGGCCTATGGTTTTAAAGCTGTCTGATTCTTTGAACCTGCCTGCCACAAACTGACATAATGTATGCTTTCAGCTGGTGTTTTGTTTATTCATCGTTTTCACATGCCTACACACAGATGCAGCCATTATATGAGACCATCTCTTTCATCACCGCTACTAGATCAGCAGTGTTGCATGTTTGCTGAAATGCAGTGATGCTACAGCTCCATTCCTAAGATGAGAGCTTTGTAAAAAGTGTTGCTTTCTTGCAAGCTCCATGTTGTGATGATTTGTGTGATAGGAAAGATCTAAGATGGAAGCTGGTTTTCAAGGTTACACGCTCCAATTAAATGATATTTAGCAGAAAAAAGCATCAAGACACTACAAAATTGCACATTTTATAAACATTTCTTCTAAGGTTTCTAATGAAATACCAGGAATACTGTGTGAACAGAGACTGTAGGTTCTTTATCCTTGGAGTGTTTGAGTTTATGCTTTACAGAATTAAACTGTCTTTTTTTTTTACCAACATTTGCAAAAATTCTATAAGAGGCAAACTCGTAATCATTCATCAAACAAAAGAAGCAAACACACCAAGTATTATGCTTTAGGTCACTCTGGTGAACTAAAAAGGATTCAAATACTGTATGGAGTTCCAGTTTGGGAGTCTGACTCCCGTTTGCAGTTCTGTAACTGCTGATTTGTTTTTTTTTCCATCACCAGTTTCAGATAGTTTTTTCCGCTGAGACAGAGGCAACTGTCTAAGACGTCTAGATGAATCAGTGTTTGGCCAAGAGGGAGAGTTCCACTGTGATGAGCCACCAGTCATCTGTCTTACTGTCACACCTGGATATGTGTGTGTGCATCACTGCTTAGATACTATATGTGTGTGCATGTGAACACACATGTGGAATTAACAAATGGCTCCAGACATGTGGAGGGGAGCTTTTGTGTGTGTGTGTCTGTGTGTAAAATGTGTGTGTTTGGCAAGACAGATGGTAAAGTATGAGTCAGAACTTGGGGGCACGACACCAGCTGGCACACCGTGGGTCTGTCTCCTCCTCCGCAACTTCCCCCATTCCCTCAATCCTCAGTCTTCCACCCTGTCTTCGCTGTCTCTCCCGTTTCCCCTCTCAGCAGGGTGCATGCATGTTTTTGTGTGCGTGTTGAGCTTAAGGGGTTGGGCGCCTTGTGACACATGACAGAGCTGGGCCCAAATTAAGTATGTGTCTGCAGGGGGGGGTCTGGTCATGGTGAAAGGTGGGAAATTGGGGGAGAGGAGGGGGAGGGAGGGATACTGTATTTACAGTCTGTCCAGCTGAGACCTGATTAAGTTGACACTGCTTGGCCCTCTGCTGCCACCAACACACATACATGCACATGACCACAACACACACTTGAGGTGAAAAGGGACTTCTTTTTATCCTTTCATAATAACCCTATACATGATTCAAGAGGCCACATATTCAAAACCTTGCTGTACTGTGCGCTATTCTCAAACAAAGAGCCTGCAGCTTTCTTTAAAGTACACATTTAAATATACAGTACTGTATACTGCTTGTGACAATGTTGACAATGGATAACACGTTTGTACATTTTCAGCTCCAAGAATAACTAAAAGTTTGCATGTAATTTACAGATAAGCAACTTTAAAATAACTGTATGCACATGACAAATACAATTAAAATTTAAACAAAATTAAAAACATTTTTTTTTTACTATTTTAAAAACCTATGAATGTGATAAAAATAAAATACAATAATTATTTCTGTGTCAAAAAGCTACACACAATGAGGTGTTTTGGTTGAGGAGGCACACTGCAGGA